ATGAGAAAACATGCTCAAGTATATAAACTTGCAGCAGAACACATTAATATTGTTATTTTAAATTTGATTATTTATAATTATTTATTATTATTATTATGATTAGTCTTTTTTGACAGTTCTGCAGCTGTTACCTGGATGGGATGAATTTTTATTATTTATTTCTTTTTTAATTAATTTTCTTGCATTAGGACTACATTATTATGTAATTATTTGTCCCATTTTTATCTAAACAATTTAGCATTTTTTATTTTTTTTATTGTATATGACATATATGATTATTTATTATGTATATATTTATGATTAATATCAATGATAAATTAATAAATAGGGCCTAACATTAATTATAATATATTAATTTATCTGTCTAATCATGTCTAAAAATATAATAATTATGTCTACCAAGCTCTGATAATGTATGGAATATTATATTAACAGACTACCCAAAAAACAATAGGCCGATACCTTTAGAAGCACAGATGTGTCTGTCACTTTAAAGGTTGTTCTAAACCTTCAGTCGGGGGGCCAGTTCTCCTCAGGCCAGACCAAACCAGCAGTTCAGTTCCAGGCTGCAGCAAAGTCAGATTGTGCAGAGGACTCAACTAAAGTTCTTTCTTCTGTTGAACACAAAAGAAGATACTTTGAAGAATGTGTCTCAACTAAACAGCTGCTGGTTGTAACTTCCATAGTAAGGTAAAAATTGGGGTCATTGGGGACCAGAAACTGTTTGGTTACCCACATTATTTAAAGTATCTTCTTTTATGTTCAACAGAAGAAATAAATTATTACAGATTCGGAACAACTTGTGGGTGTGTAAACGATGACAACATTTTCATTTTTGGGTGAACTTTATTGCACTTCAAATAAGCATGTTGGGAATACGAATGTATTATAAACATACTACTTGAATTTCAAGTATATTTTTAATACATTTAATACTATGTCTTTTTCACCTGGGATCCCTTTAAGTCAGACAGTCCACCGTGAGCAAGCTTCTCTGCAAACTGTGCGTTTATCATTAGTTACAGGACAGACCCATTAAAGGGGTCATATGATGCGATTTCAAGTTTTCCTTTGCGTTTGAGAGAGGCGGGGCATAGAGGACCTACAATAATGTACAGTATTTGAAAAATAATGTGTTTTTTGAACATTAAAGCATGTCAACATATTCTGTTACACCAAATACACAAAATAATGATCTTTAAAAAAGCATCATATGACCACTTTAATAACTTTCCCGTTCAGCCCTACGTCTGGAAAGTCTTGTGTTCAAAGGGCGAACGTGAGCTCCAGATGTTTTAAACCGTGCAGGTTTGTTTACCGCATGCTGCGCTCGTGTGAAAGGGCTTTAACGGTGCACGTTCTGGGGATAAAATGCTTAGACTAGTCTTAAAAAGTTAGCCATCTAATTTGTTTTCTTCTAGACTGGTCATATAGTCAGTTACAAAAACGTAGATTGGCCCAATTTTAATAAGAAAAATGAGACTGATTATCTCTTGGCTAACTGCTAGTTGGTCAACTAGTTCTTAAGACATAGTCTTAACATAGTGGCGATGTTTATGCAACCGGCCCCTGGAGACTCGTTGCTATGGAAACAAAGACGCCAAAATCACACGCAAATGAGCTTCTCTAATACTTCTTATGAAATTGATTTCATTATAATTGCTATTAGTATTATAAACAGGGCAAAATACTTATTTGTTTATTCAAATATGTGTTGGCCTTTGGACAAATCGTGTCCCGTATTGATTTGACACGGGACGCATCATTTTACCTTTAAATACGGGACGATTACGTATTTTAAGGGACGGGTGGCAACCCTAGTTCACATGCTGTGAACTGAGCATTTTAATGAGTACAAGTACGAGTACAGGATACCAGTATCGTATCGGTGCATCCCTACTTTTCAGCATTCTGGCGACCAGGAGGGAGTGTAATGCATGCAGGTGTCCTATTCAGCTCCCGGATGGACACGAGGCATGAATCTTGTGCCTGAGCTAAGCCCATGCAAGGTGGTGCTTGATAGACCCGGCTGTCAGCACAGTTCTGCACACAAGGCTCCCTGCAATGCTGACCGCTGTTCCTGCTGCCCTTCTGCCGCTATCAAACCGTGGGAGCAACCTCATGCTGGCTCAGCATCCACGTGAGCCATGTCTGCCGATGCCTTCGCTCTCTTATGCCGAAGACAGTCTGCGGCCCTCTTATGAGGCTTGTGAGCTGATCTCCTTTGGTGCCTTGGATGATGACGCCATGTCCACCACAGCCTTGGAGAAAGACGACCGGTGTTGCGGGTCTCTCAAGGTTTTTCTAACTGGGTTCGGGCCCATTACACTAGAGCAGAGGTCTCCAACCCTGCTCCTGGAGAGCTACCATCCTGCAGATTTCAGCTCCAACCCCAATCAAACACACATGAATCAGCTAATCAAGGGGTTCGGGGTTACTTAATAATTACAGACAGGTGTGTTTGGAACTAGAGGTCTTCTCGGGTCCTAAAATCTGCACCCGACCAGAAAAACTTCTGACCCGAACCCAACGTGCATTAATTTTTTTATTAAAAGACAAACCCAATGAAATTAGACCCGAGTCTAATCCGACTACATTTATTTTCGAACCCGACTGGACCCGAACGTAAACGGCATTGACGTGTGCACAGCCTGCAGTCTGTAAAGAAAAATCCCAGTGTCCTGCTGACTGATTTGGCCGCTTCTCCATTACTTTGATTTATTTAACATTTATTTAATTTACTATTATTACTTTATATTATTGCCTGCCTGATGGATACAAGTTATTTCTGAGTTCGGCTTTCAATTGTGGCAAGTGGATTGGAAAAATAAACGTGATAGCTCGATAAAAATTAAATCGATAGCCTAATAAATCAGTAGTGTTGTCTGCTCTGCAATGCTTTTTACCTCATCTCCGGCGAAGGGATTCTGCACACAGAAAACTAAAGCTCTGCCCTGCCCTGCATGAACACCCACCATAATGTAGCGAGTGACTTTGATGGATCTCTATAAGATGGATTTCTGTGTGCGAGGTTACAAACGTATGTTCCTTTTCTATGAGCATTTCTCAAAAATGCACTTAACACCAACGTGCAAGTACATTAAAGGGATCGGGTCCATTTGGAAAAAGCACATTTAGTTTAAATTACCCGAAACCTGAGGCAGCTAATACCGAACCCGACCCGTGTCCGAGGCACTCGTCAAAGTTTTGAACCCGAATCCGCTCGGGTCTCGGGTCGTACCTCGGGTTTTCGGATCCGAGTGGGCCCGTGACGATCTCTGGCTGGAACAGGGTTGGAGCTGAAGTCTGCAGGATGGTAGCTCTCCAGGAGCAGGGTTGGAGATCCTATATCCTATCCTATGAGATGTCTATTCGGGACATTTGCTTGGCTGAAGATTAATCTTCTCAGAATACCTTCGCTAGGTATTTCAATTAGGAAATCTCCTCTTTAGCACCACGCGTGTTGTCTGTGCAAGTGCATTCAAGCTACACAGCTTTTGGCTGCTTACATATGCCTAGGACACGCTAATTTTTGTGGTTTCGACTACGTTGTATAGCACTAAAATTGTGTTTGCATACATAGTCGTGGAAATGTGCTATGTGGAGAAGCAGCTGATTGCATGTGTTTTGTTCAGCTGAGCACAATGAATAATATGTAAACATGAGTACACAACGTGGCTGTCTATCCTTGTTTGGTTCCTGCCGAGGTTGGCATTTGTGCATCTACTTTGATGCCATTATGATAATGCTAGCGCGGCTGTCGTCATTAATTATTGATTGATTTTATTGTTTGATATGGTTGTGTAGCGCCAGCAATGCTGCCACTTGCTCAAAGCAATGCTTGTTTTATGTGAGTTTATATTGGCTCACTCCCAGTTGACTGACAAAGAGGGTGCCGGTGTTCTGACGATTTGTGCTACTCGCTCAGATTGTGCTACCTCCCATTAAAAAGATAGGTAGCACAAATCGATAGCGAAAAATGCTACCTTTCAGATAGTGCTACCAGCATCTTATTCATGTGGTTTGAGGCTTTTTAAATGTCCATACCTACCCGTCCACACCTACCCTTACCCTAAACTTACCTTTAAAACAAAGGTGCTTTTGGTAGCACAATCTGATAGGTAGCATGTTTCGTCGGTACACCGGCGCTGATCCCGTGTTCTCGCCAGCCTCTTTGCTCTAGTGGTTTCCACCAGATCCGCTATGGCATGCTTCGAGTGTTCGTGTGGGTATTTGGTTTATAACCTATCTTTGACACGCTGCTGCTCTGGCTTATATTGCGACTCGTCCCTCACTTATTAGTCCGGTGGTTGCTGAAACAGACCGGGATTTTATACGATTCCCATAGCGTCAGCTACTGACGCAATGTCAAGTGAACCAAACTTGAAATCTCTGGTAACCTAACATATGCATGGTCCCTTGAGAGGAGGGAACGAGATGTAAGTTGCTATGTTCCAGTCTCCAGAGTCTTACAAAAGCAGTTTCTGAGACAATGTCAATCCAGTGCCATGTTATATAGCGAATGGCTCCACCCACCTCACGAGCGCTCAATCATGATTGGTCTGTAAGGTTTACAGGCTCAATGCAATAGGGCTTCAGTAATCTTGGAGAAAGATGAGGTTTCCCCATAGTGTCAGCTACTGACGCCACGTCTTGTTCTCCTCCTCATCTCAAGAAACCATGGTTAACTAGGTAAACCAAAACTTAATATAATTGCATTAATTAAATTGGGAACAATGTGGATAGGGCTGTGAAATACAGTAACACCATATTAACTAAAGTAATTAACACTTAACGTATGCATTTCGTTTTAAGACACTGATATATAGATTAGTCTTCCCTTTGGTGAACCTAGTGATGCTACAATTTGACTTTTCATGATGCGCTTCAGGATCACTTGGAATGAATGCTGAAGCAGGAGCGTGCGTCGCGTGCGTCGCGTGCGTCGCGCGCTGTAGGGGTTAATGACGCGTCACAGACTGTCAGCGTACCCAGCTTTCAAAATGACGCTCTTCTCTGCGAGCGATAAACGCGTCACACTGACTCAATGCAACATGAAGGACCGCACACAAGAGCTCAGACATGTAAGTATGATTAGAATTAATTCAGTCAGGCTGAACTTTATATTGATGCTCTATGGAGGACAGACGCGCATATATTTTATACAGACGACAGCGATTTCATATTTGATCACTTCTCAGAATCACAGATCAGTAGTGATGGTTAAAGTTTGTTGTGCAGTAGTTGTAATTAAGGTCGTTGTGTATCGTGGGTGAATATGAGATGAGCACAATGAACACGTTTATGCATTTATACTGACCTTTGGACAGAATAATGAAGTTCCTTTATTTGAGTTGAATAGATTGGAAGAGACGCGGTCAGGTGCAGAAAACATCATTCATGCGTTTTATTACGATTTATTTACCTTTGAGACTGGAATTGAATAATGTTACAATTAAAAGGGGTTTATGTTCGTGTAGATGACAAAAGTACTAAGTGCTTATTTGCATATACAGCAAAAGACATATCACATAGAGCTGAAAACTGATTCAACATAACAAAGTTCAGTGAGCAGATGTGACCGACTAAGATGATACATGATGCAGTGATTTTCTATAATGGAGAGATCTGAGTTGAGCACAGCAATCATTAACCAGTCTTTCCTCACTATCACTGAACAAACAGATGCATGGCATGTATTGACTCACTGGCTTTAGTGTGTTGACAAGTGAAATGAAAAAGCCTCGATTACTTGATTACAACTTTCTTACCTTATTCTTACTTTATATGCATCATCTTTTATGCCAAATTCTTCCCAGATAGCAAACTGACTCCGGAGCGGATCCGTATCTGCAAAACGGGTCCGTATTGGAGTCCACTTGCACAGCGGACCGGATCCGGATCACATAAGGATTACGGATCCGGACCCGTTTCCACTAATATAGTGGTTCATCCGGCCCGGATCCGAACCGGACCCCTTCATTAAGTGGGTCTATATCTTATTCAAAATGGGTCATGTGGCCAAAACTAGCTATAGAAATATCTAAAAATAGAGCTGACCAACATTATACAGACTAGATTTCTCTAAAAGCTTAAATATTCCACGTGTTTCTCTTTATTATTAATAATAAACCATAAAACCATTCAAAACTTGAAAAAAATCTCAACTTTCCTTAGCCATGTAACAATAAAACACTAATTTAACACACACAAAATATAAAACACAATAAAAAAGTAGGTAATTATTACAGACTGTAAATACATTGAATAGGTTTTACAGGAAAATAACATGCAGCCATAAGTTGTACCAAAAACATTGTTTTATTTCATTCAAAATTTTAGCTCTAAAAAAAGACAATAGTATCGACTCAGTTCAATAACTTTGTAAAGTTAATCTTTACGAATGAATTAGTTCAATTCAGCTATAAGCAATTCTACAGCAGACAAAAAAAGTGTCATTATTCACTTTGAGTCAGCTCGATGTTGATTTAATTATGTTCAAATGAGTGAAAATGTTGCAAAATTCACAAATTATGAAACAAAGATGATTCGGCAATAAATCAGCTCTGGAGAAAACAGTGATGTCATCATCCAGCTCAATTCGGATCAAGTTTTGTCATCATCCAATAGTGTCAGTACCTTCAAATGAATAATATTACTGAATGTTCAGTGTCTTTTAAACCCCAAATAAGCAAGCCAGAGGTGACAGTGGAACCCAAACTCCACCAGGTGACTGAAACGGAGAAAAAAATTAAATCTTGGGAGAAACCAGGCTCCTCTGGCTAAATGAACAAAGATTATGATTTCAGGCTGCATCACTAGTCCGATTATGGACTGATATCATTCAGAATATTTCATCCAGCTCCTCGTGCTTGAAGATCAGGATACTGCCGTTTAGCCAGTAGTAGATGACTGTAAGCATGATAAAACTGCATTGTGGTCATAGCAGCTCCTGGCTTGACTCGTTCATTGCTGGCCATAGGGGTCTGTGCAGAGGGCTTGTCTGTTTCTCGTGGTCTTTGCTCAGTGCCGATGTAGTTCTCTGTAGATCCCACCTTCTCACGTGCCACGATTGGTCGATTATCTACAATGCCTGCATGTTATTGGTCAAACTACTTTTTGATCATTACCTTCAGCAAGGATGAAAACAGGAAAACAAAGCCAAAACCTGGATATTTTAGGCAATATAGAAATCCTGGCCAGGAGGAAAAAGAGCACGAATGGTTACCCTAAAATAAGTAACAAGCATCGGGTGCTGACTTTTTTCTCACAGCACTTGTAATCACACAAGCACATTTTCATACAAAATTTCATGAAATCTCATAGCAACCACCAATTTTCATGTTTTAATAGGATACACATAACTACAACCCCTAAAAACAAAAGTGTACCTGCTGACAAAGAAGTTTGACGTTTGTGCTTATTTGCTTGAAGATCTCTTAAGTCTAAATGGTAAACATAATGCTACAGCCAGAAGCTGGTTAGTTTTCTTCAGGGGTCTCCAAACTCCAGGGGCCCGTTCTTCGTACGCCGCTAACTCAGTTAGCTGGATTTGATTGTTGATGATTTGGCATGATCTTGGATTGGTTGGTTCTTCAAAGCTCATCCCGGAGTTGCTGTCATAGCAACAGCTCCGTAAGCTTAAACCTGCTCGGGAGCAGCTTATTTCATGTAAACAAGATTAGATTGTATCTTTTTAAGCAGAATTGATATTTAAAATCTGTCCGCTACCACTGCTACAAGAGTACCCTACTAATCCAGGGACAATAATTTAAAATAATCATTTAAAAATTAATTTAAATATAATAACAATGTTGTGTAGTCTTTAATACTATAGACACAGCCAGCTTTACTCACTGAAAGATTTATTCGTCATAAAATTATTACATCTTAATTGCATTCGAGTCTTACACACATGCTATACAGATAGAGTCGTGCATTAATTTGAGTGATGACAGCTATTATGGGAGTGGCTTGATGGAGCGCAGGAGATGCAGATAACATGATCTTATCCCTTAAGAAACTTTAATTAATGCTGTCACGTAACAAATCTGTTCAAATATAAAATTATATAAAGTTTATCGTCAGGTGTCTTTTTTAATTATATGACGTCATTACAACAGTGATATATTTACAACAACAAATGTAGGGAGCTCCAAAGTTGCAAACGTATATAAAAAGCAACAAACAGTTGCTTTGACTATATCATATAGAAATATATGACAAAAACCTGAAACTTGCATTTTTGCCCCCATGGGCCCTATCATACACCCGGCGCAAGGCGCGGCGCAAGTATTTTTGCTAGTTTCAGCCCGACGCAGTTCTCATTTTCCCGTCCTGCGCCGCGTTGTTTAAATAGCAAATGCATTTGCGCCCATGGGCGTGCTGGTCTGAAAAAGAGGTGTGTTCAGGCACATTGTTGGTGCGTTGCTATTTTGAGGAACTGAAAATAGACTGCGCCATAGACCAACTCAAACCTAGTCTAAAGTCTGGCGCAATATTTTTTCTTTGTTATTTAAAGAGCGCGTTAGTAATATACGCCTATAGGCGGGTGCACAACGAGCGTACACTTTGCTTATTACACACACAGGGATTTTTATTACACAAACATTTTTAAAAATGAAAGATTACATTCCGCTATGTAAATAGCGAACCCGCCATGGCACGAGTGCAACTGGCTTTTAAAGGGAATGGGAGATGAGACTCTGATTGGTTTATTACACGTTACGCCCAAAAAACACCCATTACTCATTAAGAGAATAGGGACAACCCGTTTAGACCGTTTTCCCGTCGTTAAACTAGCAAAAGTGGATTCGGACACGCCCTGAGTGCACCTGCGCCGTGCGCTTTAGACCATGCGCTTAGATCGTTAAAATAGGGCCCCATATCTTGAATTTTCGAGGTCATTCTAAATGCAGTGTGAGGTACTAAGCTACATTAGTGAAAGTGTGCTCTTAAGGCGTTTTTGTTTGGTTTTGGAAAGTGAGTGCCATACAATTCACTGTACTCTCACAACTGAGACACACAGGGTGAAGCCGTGTTTCCTGAGGGTTGTTTATATGTGTTTTCAGGGCATATGGAGGTTGTGTTTTAAATTAAGACTCATCTGTCTCGAGCACACTCACTTCCATTCATTCTCTGTGCTCTGGTTATTCTCAAACACATGCTGATGAGCCTTATCAGTTAGCAAGTATTACAGCAATTAATCATGAGTACTCTTTTATATTTTCATTTATTCTGTTATACACACACAGACACACACACACACACACACACATTTGAAAATGAATCAATTTGTTTGAATTTGACTCTTAAAAGTTTGTACAAACCCTGTTTAAAGTATTCAAGATTTAGCAGCAATGGAACTGAAGCCTCTAATGAAGCAGCATTAGATGTTGGTGAAGCATAGGAACCGTTGTAATTTCTTGATGGTGTTTGGTGTGGTCCACTTGAGTACTGCATAAACCTTATTCTTATCCATCATCACGCCTTAGTCACTGATGACATAGTCGAGGAAAGAAACAGTGGAGACATAAAATCATCATTTCTTTCTACACAAGTTGTTTTAAAGTGGTCTCTGTTGGGTTGGGTGATATGGACCATAAACCATATCTCTGTATTATTAGGGTGAACTGCGATATTGATTTCTTTCATTGTATATTTTTAAGCGTATATGCATAATAATTACATTGACGTCACACTTGTTGGTGTATAAAGTATTTATTGGTTATTTCTTATTTGCCAATAGATAACATCAGTCATCATGTTGTTACTTACCTGCTTATCTTGCTGTTCCTGGGTTCGTTCTGTTCTGGTAACAACAGCCATACCATGTTGTACTGTATGTGTAGCTCTTATGTTGGTTTTTATTTAATTGTTTGACATGTATTGATTTGAATTGCTTACCGCGGTAGTTACTGTCGTTTGTTTATTCAAATGGCTGTGTATGAGAGTGTCATTAGAGAAATATGAATTGTAGATGAGGAGTTAATTCCATTGAATTGGTTTGTCCCAATTTTGATGGCAGGAAATATTAGGCTAGTATTTAAACCACATGTTGTAAGTTAGGACCAAAAAAAGGATGTGTTCTCAAGGACTGTGCCCAGATAAGGGTTTCTCTGCATTGTTTAGTGCTAGGTTTGCTGCTCCAACCATTTTCTTTGTGGTTTTGTGTAGCCCGGTGAAGGTGCTAGGCCTATATTTAAATTAGTTTTGTTATTTGGTTTATTTCCTTTTTGCTTGTTTGTACTTTGTATTTAGTTATCACCCTCATTTGTGTCTGTGGGGAGAAAATAAACCACTTTTTGCACTTCATTCCCCTTGTCAGACCATGCCTATCTAGTTCCTCCCTAGACCATCGGAAGCACGATATCTGACTTTGATGGCCATAAGGCTAGCAAGTTCAGTCACCTAAAAGTTTGCACATTTTCAGTATTTGCACACTCAGTTCAATGAATTTGTTTTTACAATTCATCTTATTTTAGGCAGTTTTACAAAGAATAGTGCCTCACAAACCTCCCAATTTACACGCTATCAGTTATCGCTATCAGTTTCTTTGTGTTATTGACAATGTGTCCAACCAATCACAAGTTAAGTATGGAGTGCCACAGGGTTCAGTATTAGGTCCTCTACTTTTCTCCTTGTATATGCTTCGCTTATTGTGGTCCCATGAACGGCAGTTCAGTTTTGCATGTATTACACATGACAAGATTGATTGTTTATAATTTTGTAAAACTTTTGCACACTTTACTGCATCATCTCTATCATGACGTCCTGTGCTGTTATTCTACCCGGCTCCATACATGGCTCTGACACTCCTGTGGTCAAAATGTTTCATTGCCGGATCAAAAGACTATTTGCAAACTAAGGTATCAGTGGACAGTTTTTTGTTGTCGACATTGTTGATTGATTCGGCCCTAATGATTGTATGGGCACAGGTCTAACAAATAGCTTGAATGCACTGTAAGTCGCTTTGGATAAAAGGATCTGCCAAATGAATAAATGTGAAATGACACTACAACTGTTCCTGCAATTACTACAATGACAAGTTCATTTTTTTTAATGATAATAAACCACCTAATGACTACCGTATTTCTGTTCATAAGGGAAAAGACCCAGAAGAGGTGGACGAGGTGGCCGTCGGTATTGAAAAGGGTTTCATGGACGAGTTCTTTGAGCAGGTTTGATATTAATATTGCTATTTCACTAATGAAATCTCCTTCTCTGGGATTTGTTTCCTGCTGCTGCATGATGCTCTATAATGACACGCAATTAACACATCATGTTAAGACCATAAAGAGCCATAAAACAGATTCACAGAAGAGCTTAAATGTGTTTGAACAGAGTCAGCACTAAACTTTGCAGTTGCGTTCTATTTATCAAGTAACACAGAAAACTTCTTTTAACCTGTTATATAAGATACATATGCAAACATACACTATACATATATAAATCAGCAGTTGACATATGAACAGGAAAACAAATGACTGCTGATCAGATTTGTGTTTGAAATATGAAAACATATTGGTAATTATTATTTATTTAGTTAATACATTTTTTGTAAAACTCTGAAGTTTTGTGACTCTTAATCAATTTATTTGTGAATCAACTATCTGTGTGTGAATTTATTTGAAATTTTGTGTCAGGTCTAACCCTGCAGAGATATGTGAAACAAGCTTTACTGATAATAAACAACATGTATTTGATCCGTTCTGAACTTCCCTCTTATCTCTCAGGTAGAGGAGATTCAAGGGTTCATTGACTCTCTGGCAGAGAAAGTAGAAGAAGTGAAAATAAACCACAGCGCCATCCTGGCCTCTCCAAACCCAGACGAGAGTAAGATCCTGCTACACATAAAGCCTTAATTAACTCACAAACGCATATGAAAAAGATTACAGTCTGTCGATCAGCTTCACCATTACAAATAATTTGTGTATCTCTGTAAGAACTTACGTGAACATTTAACTAGATTTCAGACATAACAACAGGACTGTTCTGATTGGCTGCATTCGCACAGCTACAGAATGTGGAGGTCGGTCCTGCTTCAGATGCTCAATACACTTCTGTTTACACTCGCTTCACTTATGAAAGACAGTGACTACATTACAAGTGACTCCATTAACCCTCATATATTTACTCAGATATATGCAGACCCTTATCAAGGATCCGGTTGTCCCTTTACACTTTATTTTAAGGTGCTCTTGTTACAGTGTAATTACACAAGAAAGTATTGAGTAATATTAATAATATGATAATTTTTTTTGTGTGTTTTTTTTCTTATTTAATTATTGTTCCTGGAGCTCATGGATTTGATTCTGAGAGGATAAACTGAACTGAGCTAATAAAATGTATACCTTAAATGCAATGTAAGTTGCTTTGGATAAAAGCCTTTATCAAATGCAAGCAAAGTACAATATATTTCAGCTGGCCTGTGATCTCTCTCTCTATCTCTCATGTCTCTGTATAAAGCACAAACGCACTCTGCTCCTGCTGATCGTCAGTCTTCACCGCTCTTGCCGTGTTTGACGTCATGGAATATTAGATTAGAAAGTGATTTTTAGCCCAGGATCTGGTACAGTTTTTTTTTATAGCCACAACTGCACCAAAAAATTGCCGAGACTCATGTGCAGTGAGCCATAAAAGAGAAGCAGATGTGGTCCAACTGTAAGACATCACACTGAGTTCTTGTCTGGTTGGGTTGTGTTACAGCCTGACGACGCTCATGACTGACAAACTAAAAGCCAGTGTTCTCCCACAATTACAGCAGTTATCAGTCATTTACTCACTCTGGTGTTGTTCCCATGCCATATGGCCGTTTTTTTCCCTCAGGACCTTGAAAAAAAAAAAGATGCAAAAGTATCACAGAACGGTTCCATGTGATATGAGCCATATATTCCAAGTGTTCTGGGGGCATATTATAGGGTTTGGTGAAAATCAATCCGAAACTGGAAGTGTTATTTAACGAAAATCCTGACATTGGCCATTAGTCTTATGTGCACGACTGCACATTCATGAAACTCATGCAATTCACCCCGAAAAAAGTGCACAATTTGGAGAAATCAAGATCAATAAAGGCACAAAATTAAATACAATGTCTAGAAATACCAAAGAAGTATCCATGCAGTTTCTTCACTGAGTTGAATATCTCCGGACTGGAACTCTGGTTGTCAGATGACAGTCAGAATGAAAATTGACAGATGTGAACACGATGTGAACTTGTTGCGATGAACACAACAGATATATTCACCTCAGAGAAGAAAGTGCTGCAATGTTAAGTCAGTAAAAATGAAACTAACAGAACATAACTTGACAGTACGTCCCCTCCCGGAAGGCGCGACCTTACGCCGTAACAGAAGCAATGAGGTGGGAAGAGAGAGAAGAGGTGGGGGCTTTGGAGGAGGACAAGGAGCAGGAGAAGGGGTGGTCCGCAAAGAGCAGCCAGGATGATTGCCCATGGCAAAGTCGATGGAAGGAGGAGCCATGGTGGAGGAAGTGGCTGACGAGAGCTCAGAGCGACCCAGGAGACAGCCAGGAGGAAGGCAACCCACGGCGGAGCTGAGGGAGGGAGGAGCCATGGTGGAGCCCTGGTGGGGTTGCTAAGTGAAACCATGGAAACGACTGGCCGAGGTGGAGCAGGTGGAGGTGGAGACACAGGCGGAGCCGAAGAGCTGCAGAGACCAAGCGACAAAGAAGGTCCTGGAGACCGAGGTGTAGCCACAGTGATGAGTGGCCAAGGTGAACCCAGGGAGCCGGAGGGAAGGAGGAGCCTGCCAGAGCCGAAGGGGTGGAGGGACGAGTACCTGTAAGTCCGTGGTGCAGGCAAAGTGATGTCTGACCAAGGCAGAGCCGGAGGGACAAGGAAACCCAGTAGAGCCGGAAGGATGACGTCCCATGGTGGAGCCGAGGGACTGAGGAGCCAAGGCGGAGCCAAATGGTCGATGGGCTCCACGGGTCCACACTCCATGGCGGAGCTAGGGACCAGAAGCCCCAAGGCGGATCAGGGCTGCATGGCAGGACTGATAGTGGAGCTGAGGGGCTGGAGGGCGCCAGCGGAGGTGGAGCCGAGGGAATGTCTGGCTTCAGTGGAGCGTGCAGGAGAGGAAAGCTTGGTAAGGAAGCAGGCTTAGTGATGAACAGGGCTGGTGACAACAAAGAACACACTGTGATGGACAGGACTGGTGACGATGAAGAACATTCAGTGCTGGATGTGACTGGTGACGAAGACTCTGAGCTGGACCAGCAACGACAAAGACACAGTGCAGGAAGGGACCAGTGGCAGAGAAGGTTCGCGGGTGGGAAGCAGTACTTCCGTTTCCCAATCAGTTAGCCATTCCTCTGTATCCAGCTCCACCAATATACCCGCCGGCATGGATGTGCACTCGTTCCAACTAACCTGATGGCACTCAGTCCTCAACGTAATCCTCCAGTGGCCATCCTCCTTAATGTAAGGCCAGGAGTTGCTCTGAAATATAGTCCATTATTCTCATTTTTGTTGGTCCGGTGTTCTGTAACGTTAAGCCCAAGGAAGATGAAGAAAGTTCAAAAACAGATCAAATAAAACATGTTTTTTTTTTAGAAAACAACAGAAGGTAATCCAAATAACAAGCCAAGCTACTGAACAGTGTGCACAATACACAAACAATTCTTAACTTAAGTCGTCAAGGTGATGAACAAGTTACAGACAGGTGTGATTGTTAATGAATGACCATGGTAACGGAAAGTGGTGGGAAACTAGAACAAAGGAACAGGAAAGTGATAAGTAAAATCCATGAAAATTAAACTTAACAGAGCATAACTGGGACAAGTACATAGATTGTACTTTGTGTCGTGTTTTTATCAATCTTGATTTCTTGTGTGCTTTTCCTGGTTGAGTCGTAGTGAACTGCTGTGCTAATCTCATGTATGTGCAGCCATGCACAGAAACCAACAGCCAAGGTCAGGATTTTTGTTAAATAATACATTCAATTTTGGTTTGTTTTTCACCAAACCTTATCTTATATCCCCCGAACACTTGGAATATAAGGCACGTGTCGCATGGGACCACTTGGTGATATACTTTTGCATCTTTTTTTTTTTTTTGTAAAGCTTGATGCTGATTGTTATCCACTGCCATTATATAGATGACTGCAAGCAGGACATTTTAGAAAAATTATCTTTTTGTGGTCCAAAATAGAAGGAAGGGGATACAGCTTAGAACAACACCAGGGTGAATAAATTATGACTTCATTTTAATTTTTAGGTAACCTTTACCTAACCTTTAGGTAATTTAGATATTTTCCTCTGGAAATAAACAGAGGAAATCAATATACAGACAGTCAAAACACTGTAACTCTCTGCATAAAATTGCTAAAAAAGCATTGCATTAAATTAAAGATGCCTTCAGTATTTCTAGAAGGGAATAGTTGGTAAATAATGTGTATGTCTTAGAATATTCTGAATATGCTGAGTGCATTACATATAGATATATTCCAGTAGCTGGAGATCAGAAATGATGTGCATGTAAACATGTTCTGTGTCTTTTTAATTTTATGACAGAAACAAAAGCAGATCTGGAGGAGTTGATGACAGATATCAAGAAGTTGGCTAATAAATTACGTTCCAAGTTAAAGAGTGAGTCCTTCATCCTCAACAACACACGTTGCAACCAGTTACATGTTGAAGCATTAAAGAATCAATTGCCTCTCTCTTCACCTGCCAGTCACACTCGAATCAATGTCCTACAGACTAGCTTACTTCAGTTTGAATGTGATAGACTGTAGTGAAATAGAAGCTCACTTAAAGTTTTATAAATAGCCAGAAACGTAATAGGCAGTCAGTCTAGTGACAATAACATTGTCTGATATGAGCACTCAAGCTTCAGCTGGTTCAAAATGCAGCAGCTAATTTAATAACCCTACCGGACGTCCTCCCAGTAGTGCGTTGCAATAATCTAATCTTGAGGTCATGAATGCATGAATAAGCTTTTTGGCGTTAGAAATAGAGAGCAGTCCATATCATTTGCATTTACTATCATTTACTAATGTTCCATAATATGATGAAGTGATTAGTGATGTGTCGTGTAAATGCTGAGCTCACCGTAACATAACACTGATTCCAGAGGATTTGGAATAACTTTGGTATTATTTATTTATCTTTACTCTCTTTAGCACTAGTAAATAATTGACCACAGCGATTTTTTTTTAGATATCCAGCAGACCATAGAGCAGGAGGAGGCACTAAACCATTCAAAAAATCCATCAGCTGATCTGAGGATACGGAAAACACAGGTCAGAGGGGTTGGACACGACTCCATTACAACCTGTTACTCACTGATGACTGGCAGATATGTTGTTGTGTGTACATTAATATAAGAGGTTTCTGTTTTTCAGCACTCCACCCTGTCACGTAAATTTGTGGAGGTGATGACGGAATATAATGCAACGCAGTCAGATTACAGGGAACGCTGTAAAGGACGGATACAGAGACAGCTGGAGATCAGTGAGTAAACACACTCTGGTAACACTTTAGTTTAGGGACCAATTCTCACTATTAAATAGTTGATTATTAGCATGCATTTTACTACACTGTTAATTTTTTTTTGTGTGTGAAATTACAGTATATTCCAGGTTAATAATTGCATTACTTTCACCGTAATTTCACAGTGGCACTTCTCTTGTATTCTTGTGAACAAACAGCATCATACTGTTTCTACAAAACAGATGTACTCTGAAGGCACCCAGCATGCAATGCAGCACGAATAGATCATGCTGTAGAGTTTTTTCATTCTTGTTGGTTTTATTTGTGCTATTGAACTTGTTTTCGGGTTCACGTTTAGCAGTTTGTGTTGTTGGTTTATTTTGTAATGCTGGTTTATGTTGTAAGTGTTGTCACGGCCGGCTCGCAAGCAAAGAAGGAGACAACACGTTGGATCATAATATAAAAAGGAATAACATTTATTAAAGTAAGATTAAATTAGAAAAGAACGGGACAAAAAACAGCACGAGGAAGGAAAGCGAGCGCATCTCAACTGAAGGGAACTGCTTAAATCTACCGGCATCAGCTCCAACACAGGTGTAAGTCCTCAGCCATAATGATGTCACTCACCCTAACTCCATCCTGCAAAACAAACAAAGGAAAAACACATACTGGGTTCATAACACCCTCCCCCATAGAAAAAGGTGTCCATTTATGAAACCCAACCTAACCCTTCACCCGATAACCCCACATACTGGAGAGCACCCACCACTCTGTCATACTCCCAATGTCCTCGGCAACTACGGGCCCTGTAGAAGCAATTTAAGAGAATCAAAGAGTAAAACTAAACATGGACAAATCAACAGCTAAGTCAGCCACCACATTGTCAGTACCTTTGATGTGTTGGATATCAAGGGCATATGATTGCAGAAAGAGGCACCAACTCTAGTGACAATAACATTGTCTGATATGAGCACTCAAGCTTCAGCTGGTTCAAAATGCAGCAGCTAATTTAATAACCCTACCGGACGTCCTCCCAGTAGTGCGTTGCAATAATCTAATCTTGAGGTCATGAATGCATGAATAAGCTTTTTGGCGTTAGAAATAGAGAGCAGTCCATATCATTTGCATTTACTATCATTTACTAATGTTCCATAATATGATGAAGTGATTAGTGATGTGTCGTGTAAATGCTGAGCTCACCGTAACATAACACTGATTCCAGAGGATTTGGAATAACTTTGGTATTATTTATTTATCTTTACTCTCTTTAGCACTAGTAAATAATTGACCACAGCGATTTTTTTTTAGATATCCAGCAGACCATAGAGCAGGAGGAGGCACTAAACCATTCAAAAAATCCATCAGCTGATCTGAGGATACGGAAAACACAGGTCAGAGGGGTTGGACACGACTCCATTACAACCTGTTACTCACTGATGACTGGCAGATATGTTGTTGTGTGTACATTAATATAAGAGGTTTCTGTTTTTCAGCACTCCACCCTGTCACGTAAATTTGTGGAGGTGATGACGGAATATAATGCAACGCAGTCAGATTACAGGGAACGCTGTAAAGGACGGATACAGAGACAGCTGGAGATCAGTGAGTAAACACACTCTGGTAACACTTTAGTTTAGGGACCAATTCTCACTATTAAATAGTTGATTATTAGCATGCATTTTACTACACTGTTAATTTTTTTTTGTGTGTGAAATTACAGTATATTCCAGGTTAATAATTGCATTACTTTCACCGTAATTTCACAGTGGCACTTCTCTTGTATTCTTGTGAACAAACAGCATCATACTGTTTCTACAAAACAGATGTACTCTGAAGGCACCCAGCATGCAATGCAGCACGAATAGATCATGCTGTAGAGTTTTTTCATTCTTGTTGGTTTTATTTGTGCTATTGAACTTGTTTTCGGGTTCACGTTTAGCAGTTTGTGTTGTTGGTTTATTTTGTAATGCTGGTTTATGTTGTAAGTGTTGTCACGGCCGGCTCGCAAGCAAAGAAGGAGACAACACGTTGGATCATAATAAAAAAAGGAATAACATTTATTAAAGTAAGATTAAATTAGAAAAGAACGGGACAAAAAACAGCACGAGGAAGGAAAGCGAGCGCATCTCAACTGAAGGGAACTGCTTAAATCTACCGGCATCAGCTCCAACACAGGTGTAAGTCCTCAGCCATAATGATGTCACTCACCCTAACTCCATCCTGCAAAACAAACAAAGGAAAAACACATACTGGGTTCATAACACCCTCCCCCATAGAAAAAGGTGTCCATTTATGAAACCCAACCTAACCCTTCACCCGATAACCCCACATACTGGAGAGCACCCACCACTCTGTCATACTCCCAATGTCCTCGGCAACTACGGGCCCTGTAGAAGCAATTTAAGAGAATCAAAGAGTAAAACAAAACATGGACAAATCAACAGCTAAGAGGAGTAAGGAGCTCTAGACCACATTGTCAGTTCCTTTGATGTGTCGGATATCAAGGGCATATGATTGCAGAAAGAGGCACCAACGAGTCAATCGCTGGTTTGGGCACCTTAAAGAGTGTAAATAAATGAGTGGATTATGGTCGGTATACACGACCAATGGGTCCGACACGGATCCCACATACACCTCAAAATTTTGCAGGGCCCAAATCAAAGCTAATGCCTCCTTCTCAACCACAGAATAATTTAACTGATAAGAAGAAAACTTTTTAGAAAAATAGCTAACTGGACGGTGAATGCCCGTATCATCAGCCTGTAACAGTACAGCTCCTGCACCCACGTTGCTAGCATCCACACACAACCTAAAAGGGCGATCAAATCGGGGAGCTGCTAACACAGGAGCAGAAACGAGCAATGATTTAGCTGCCTCAGAGGCTTCCTGACAGACAGAGGTCCAGACAAAAGCTGCTTTTGCTTTCAGCAAATTAGTGAGTGGGGCTACTACCGTAAAAAAATTACTACAAAATCCCCTATAGTAACCCACTAACCCCAAAAAATGCATCAACTCCTTCGTAGTAGGAGAAGGAAATCGATCGACTTACCCAAGTAAGTTACGGTGGCTTTGGCGAACTCACATTTGGCCAAATTTACCGTCAGACCAGCCTCTCCAAAACGAGCAAACAGGTCTGCAATACGACTCAAGTGTTGATCCCATGAATCACTGAAAACCACCACATCGTCTAAATAAACCACGACTCCCTCCAACCCAAAAACAACCCTATTCATAAGTCGCTGAAAGGTTGCGGGTGCATTTCTAAGGCCAAAACTCATAACATTATAAGAAAATAACCCCTCAGATGTAATAAAGGCAGAAATCTCTTGAGCTCTTTGGGTCAACGGAACCTGCCAATAGCCCTTGAGCAGATCGAATTTACTAACAAATTTCGTGGACCCAACTCGGTCAACACAATCCTCAATACGAGAACGCGGAAATGAGTCTGGCTTAGTCACTTTATTTATTTTCCGATAGTCGGTGCAAAACCGATAAGTTTCATCAGGCTTATTTACAAGCAAGCAGGATGCCCAGCTAGAAGATGATGGACGCGCAATGTCGTTTTCCAGCATATACTGAATTTCAGCCTTAAGATGCAGGAGTTTATTTGGGGACACCCGATAAAAATGCTGGTGAATGGGCTCAGCATCCCCAATGTCAATATTGTGCTCTAACCAGTGCGTACGTGAAGGTACATCACCAAATAAAGAGACATGACGGTTAATAAGAGCAATCGAGTCAGCACATTTACTCTCTGGCAAATGGGCCTACATTTTATGCAAATTTTTAAGAGTCTCTGAATTTTTAAGACGTCCTCTAACAGTATCGTATCCTCTGGAAAAGAAACTCCTTCATCAATTTCCTCCTCCAAAAGAATAGGTGAAGTACTCTCAACTACCAATACAGGCTTCACCTCAATCTTGGCGTCTAACGCTTTGTGAGAACGACAATAATAGGGCTTCAACAAATTAATATGACACAACTGTGTTGACTTCCTTCTATCTGGGGTGGCAATCAGATAGTTTAAATCAGTAACTTGTTTTACCACCATAAAAGGACTGGTATACTGAGCTTGAAACGGTGAGCCCTCCACAGGTAACAGAGCCAACACTTGATCGCCGGGCATAAATTGTCGTTTCTCAGTTCGCCAATCATAAAGTGACTTCATACGCCTCTGCGAAGAACACAATTGTTCTTTTGCCATCTTATCTGCTTCATACAATCTACGCTTAAAGTCATTCACGTAACTTATCAAATTTTTGGGTGGTGTATTTTCAGTCCAGTTATCGTGGAGCACAGCCACCAACAGTATGCCCAAACACCAAATCATTGGGACTGAACCCAGTACTTTCCTGACATACCTCACGTGCTGACAACATCAGCCACGGCAGTCCCTCCTCCCAATCCCCCTCCATCTCCGTACAATACGCACGTAGTAAGGACTTAAGCGTCTGATGGAAACGCTCCAAAGCCCCCTGACTTTGGGCGTGATAAGCACTAGCTTTATTGTGCTTAATGTGCAGCAGCTTCAAGACCTGAGAAAACAAGTGAGAGGTAAAATTAGAACCCTGATGACTCTGCACAATCTTCAGAATGCCAAAAATGGAAATGAACTGAGTCAGAGCTTTCACCACTGATTTCGCAGTGATCGTACGGAGGGGATAGGCCGCAGGGTACCGAGTAGATGCACACATAACAGTGAGCAAATAAATACTACCTGATTTTGATCTAGGCAACGGGCCTACACAATCAATAATCAGATGCTCAAATGGTGGACTGTCAGCCAGAATAGGAAACAATGGGGCAGGTTTGATCGTCTGATTTGGCTTGCCAGTTAGTTGACAAGTATGACATGTCTTGATGTACTTTGACACATCTTTCTTCAATTTTGGCCAAAAAAAATTACGAAGGATTCTGTCGTAGGTCTTTTTAACCCCTAAGTGACCTGCAAGTTCATCATGAGAAATCTTCAACACAAGTGAGCGATACTTCTCTGGCACTACCACTTGTATAATAGAATCCCCTGCAAAGTCACTCTACCATGTGGAATCCACTTCCTCACCAACATTCCATCCTGTAAGATATAACCATGAGCAACATGTCTAATTTCATCAGACGACATCACACTCTCAAAAAGTTTGTAGAGAGAAGAATCAAGTTGCTGCTCCTGTATCAATTCTGAAAGAGAAACAGAAAAATCACCAGGCAAAGAAAATGTTGATCTTACTACAGTAGAATCAGAGGACAACGTTGGTTGTGCAGAGGCCATGGATCGGGTCACAGCAAACCACCGGAGGTGAAAAGGTATCAGGCCAAACCCTGTCTCCAGCCAAATTATTTCCCATTATTATATCCACACCCTCCACTGGCAAAGAAGGACGCACACCAACCACCACCTCTCCACTCACAAGTTGAGATGACAACATTATTTTGTGTAAAGGAACAGACAAGACATTTAACCCAATTCCTTTAATAAGCACACTAGTACCAGTGTCACTCAAAGATGAAAATGGCAACATATCCTGCAAAATAAAGGACTCTAACGCTCCCGTGTCCCTCAATATCGTCACTGGAACTTTTGTCTCTTTACCAACAATCGACACATGCCCATAGGTAATAAAAGGTGCATAATCTCCATGTTTTATGGGGTTCACTGCTGTGGGAAATCCCTCACAAGATGAGCTAACAGGATTTAACACTGGTGCCACAAGGACAGCTGGCTTAATATGAGGAGCCTTTCCCCCTTTAGTCTTAGCTTTTAGTACAGGCCGTTCATTCTTCCAGTGGCCTTTACCACGGCAGTAATTACAGATCAGAGATGAACTTCTAGGTGTGCGATCTATTTTATCTTCAAACACTTCATCCCTTCTCCGAAACTCAAAACTACTCTTATGTGTCAAAACATAATCATCAGCTAACTCAGCAGCTGTGTCAGCTTTCTGCTCATTTATATATGTCGCAATGCGAGCAGGAACAGAGTTCTTAAACTGCTCAAGCACTATTAAGTTACTCAACTCCTCAAAGGTGGTTACCTCAGATGCCATACACCAGCGGTTAAATGCAGTAGTGAGCTCTCTAGCAAACTCAACATGAGCCTCATTAACTCCCCTGGACAACGTTCTAAATATCTGTCGGTATGCTTCTGGTACTAACTCGTACGCTTTTAAAACTGCAGCCTTAACAATATTGTAATCTTTGCAGTCTGAAGGTGAAAGCGCAGAATAAACTTCTTGAGCCCTGCCAGTAAGCACGCATTGTAAAAGCAGTGTACGTTCTTTACTAGGCCAACCTCTTGCTTCCGCTATCCACTCAAACAGTATAAAAAAGGTATCCGGATCTCGCTCATTAAATTTAGGAACTAAACGCAAATTACCAGCAGTGTCAAATGTTTGAGAAGTACCCTGACCAGCATCACCTGAGCCATTATTTAGTCCACCTTCTCTTATTATGTCTAAACAGTATTTTTGCAGCTCAATATTGGTCTGTTAATTTCTATTTTTTTCACGCTCTACTTCCAATTTCACACGCTCCTGCTCAATCTGTAACAACAATAACCTTTCCTGTTGCTGAAAAGTTAAAGAGTTAACCTGAGATTTAACTTGACCGGCAGTAGCTGGCATTTCAAACAATATACACTGTTAGTTTTAAGTGTTTCTCTAATGGTACTATCCTTTACCCTTCTATCTCCAATCTCAATTCCATAATTATCCGCAATTTTGAATAATTGATCTTTTGTACACGAATCAAGCAACGCTTCACAAGGAGAACTAATAAAATCTTCGACTAGATTAGACATGCTTCCACCTTATATATATATATATATAAAAAAAAAAATTACATTATACCACTCGTTCCAAAAGGGAACGAGCAGCTACACCTAACAAGGGAACACCAATACTATTCAAAATTCCCCCCACAATAGGATTTGCAAAAACCACTTACCCTCTTTAACCTCACATAGAGAGACCGCCAACTACGGACACCAGCAATTCATTGCATTCCGTCCTTGAAACAAACAAATCCAACGCATATTTCCTTCAAAATAATGCATAAAACACCCCAAACAATAGCGCTACCACAACAATCGCTCTTCCGATTTTACCTTAGGTTAATCGGCATGCTGAATTTCCTTACAAAATAACTGAACGCAAACAAAAGCAAAGTGCTTTCAAATCATGTCGAAAAACAATAGGATTTTTCAAAAATGAAAGGATGAGCCCCCATTTGTCACGGCCGGCTCGCGCAACAAAGGATAAATTGATGCTGAAAATTCAGCTATGACTCATATAAATAGATATTTTAAAGTTTGGTGAAAACCATTATTTAAAACTATATATATATATTGTCACGGCCGGCTCACAAGCCGCGACAAAGAAGGAGACAACACATTGGATCATAATAAAAAAAGGAATAACATTTATTAAAGTAAGATTAAATTAGAAAAGAACGGGACGAAAACAGCACGAGGAAGGAAAGCGAGCGCATCTCAACTGAAGTGAACTGCTTAAATCTACCGGCATCAGCTCCAACACAGGTGTAAGTCCTCAGCCATAATGATGTCACTCACCCTAACTCCATCCTGCAAAACAAACAAAGGAAAAACACACAACCAACAAATATGACCCATACTGGGTTCATAACAGTGTTGGTTTTATTTGTTGAATGTTACCATTGTTGTGTTGTGTATGTCGAGGATTGATTTCACATCTTTCAAAGCTGTTTCTCAGCAGTCGCTTCACTATTGTGAAAGATCCATCCACAAACAGTTATGAATATGAAATAAATTAATCTTCATGCTTAAAATAAAATCTTCATGTTCATGCTAAGAATAGTTTAACTATCTTAAAATCAGGAAATTTGCTTATTTCGTATTCTAACTTGTCTTCATTTGTCACACTTCTGACATGATTAGATCAGAAATTTGAATATGAATATACAAGCATTTTATTGCGCATGTGAATTAATTCTACCTGGCAGCGTCTCTCTACTAGTAGTGAAGCTGTGGGATTTAGTTATTAAGAAATATATGCTTGAACTTTTCAGTTTCTAAGCTATTTTATTGAGAAATCACAGAACAGTGTTGACAATACATTTCCGCGCTGAATGATTCTGTGTGCACGCGATCTGCGCGTGATGCACGAACTACTGTCTGTATGTGTGTGCGTTACAGTGCAGCAGCGCATTAGATTAGAACGGCGATTAATTTACCTGTACAATAGGCTGTTTAAAACGTGCATTCTCCCATTCAATTTCGAGCATCCAGTAATATAATCACACGTCTTGTGGAGCGCTTTCGGAGTATGCATTTATTTGTCATTTTAACTGTTCGGAAACGGAGCGTAAATGTGGAAGTCCTTCAAAGATTTCTTATCCTGTTGCGCCCTCTGTAGGACCAACGACTAGTCGACGTCAAGCTTAAAGCATCCTGGCAGAGCATTGAAGTCGACTAGTCGATTAGTCAGTGCAACCCCTAGTTCTGAGTCACTTCCAAATGTGGTTTTAAATCAGATATAGAGCTGATATCTGGACATCTGACCGATGTCTAAAAATGTAAAACTGATTCCCATCATAATGCCAAGCTGCCACATTTACTCACAAAGATAACTTTTCTTAATGTTGTACTATGAAGCAGACGACCTGTATGCGTTCACGCAAACTCCCAGCTTCTTGAGGCAGAAATTTGATATATAGGTAAGAGATTGCGCACACAGAAACAGTTAGGAGCACAGAAGCTTTTTCAGCTGTTACCCCATGATTTTTTAATAAAATGGCTTTGTCACTGAACGATATATATTTCACAGCAACAAGATGATAACATTACTGTTTTTTAAGCAATTATACTTACATCTTCACTATTATATAGAAATGCTGCACAGATGCAAGTAATTCACACACGTATAATCTATTTCTCTTGGTAAGACATTCAAATAATTATAAACCTACTGTGCTACTTTATTTTACTTCAAAATTGTTTGTGCTACAAACATCAATGACAGCTTTATTATGTCCATGCTTGATCAAGTACAAGTGGGATAAACCACATCTAGGTGTGCATTAAAGTCAAAATATATACAGTAAATAAATCTATATAGCATCACCAATGGATTTGAGTTAATGTAAACAGTATATTACAGTAAACATATTGGATACGAGTTGTAGCTTAAGTGAATGTAAACAGGTGGGACAAAAAAAAAGGATATGGTCAGAAGATTAGATTAGCGTCAGGGTTCTGTCACTTCGGTCTAGTTTATTCATGGTTTTGTGACAGAGCCCTGACACTCCCATCATGTCGTGTTTTTATGTGAGCGCAGCTTCGAGTGTGCTCGAGCCGTGCGCTCTCTTGTCTGCGTGTCTTGTTTCATGTCGGCACTCATATCTTGTTCAGATTCAGTTTCAGTTTGGTGTCGGGGTTCGGACACACGCACTCCATGTTCTGTTTTGTTGTGGGAGCGTGCGGTCTCGAGTTCGCTCAGGCCGTACGCTTTTCTGTCCTCGTGTCTTGTGTTGTCGCACGCAGCTCGTGTTTTTTCGGCTGCGTGCTTTCATGTTACGTCTTGTGCTGTGTAGCACGCAGCTTGTGTTTTTCATTGGCTGCATGCTTTCATGTTGTCATGTCTTGTGTGAACACGCGGCTTATGAGTATTCTCATTAGCTGCGTGTTCGTGTCTTGTTTTGTTCAAGCACATGGCTTGTGATTTGTTTTGCTGGCCATGTGCTTGTGTTTTTGTTTTGTGTGAGCACATGGCTTTTGTATTGTTTGGTTTCTTGTGCCATGTGCTCTCATGTCAATTGTCTAACCCCACCCATCTTGTTACCTGTTTATTGGTTTATTTGCCCCGTGTTTCCCTTATTAACCTCCTAATTTGCTCCCTATTTATTCTCCTTGTGTTTGCAGTCCTGTGTGAGTTTGTCGTCAAATGTTGTGTGTGCCTTGTGTCTTGCCTTGTCCTGCCTTGCCAGTCGGTTTCCCCTACGGGGTAGTTTCTGTTTGTTTTGGTTTATTTTTTTTATTAATAAAAGCCCTGATTCCTCCTGCGATTGAGTCCTCGCCTCATCCCTTCATCCCCAACCCTGACAATTTGTGCATTATGCCTTGCAATGAAAATCAAATTCTAACATGAAAGCTTCAATTAGACCACTGAGTGCCAGGTTTTAATGTCAGGATTGCTTTAAATATGTACCAGAGGTATGCAACAGGTCATGCATTCCCTGGGAATCGAAACCATGACCTTGACGTTGCTAGCGTGGGTTCTGTGTCAAAAGGATTTTTCTTGTGACTCAAGAGGAGTGTGCACATCACTACGTCCTCTATAGGATTATATGGTTCTGGGGAGAACAGATAACCCCCATCTGTCTGACAGGCCTCATTCGAAAAACAAACGCCACGACAATGTCCACAGTACAGCTCTGCATTCAGTGTGTAATCAAGTCTGAGTCACGATACATCCAGATCACAGATGTGTGATCACTCCACACAGTTCATTATTAACTCAATGAGCCACTAATTACAGACTGTCAGGGGTGAACAATGGTGCATGTCACCTCACTGTTTCAGGCTAGTGATTCTCTATTGTTTTTCTCGATTCTCATTTCAAAAAGTGCAGTAGAATTGTTTTTGTGTAATTAGCCCTTTAGAGAAACATTTCCTCCATAATGGATTTGCTCTTAACTTGACCCTTTACATTACATTTTCTGTGAAACCAGAAGGTAGTCTATTACTAGCAGTATTGTTTTGGTTCAGTCAGAGTGTACATTCATCACAGTTGTTGTGTATTTCTGTTGTTTGGTGAAAAACATGGTAACATAAGATTAGGGAGCACATGTTCACTGCTGACTATGACGTTTGCTTATTATTAGTTAGTAAGGTAGTTGTTAAGATTAGGATTAATGGATCTAGAATATGGTCATGCAGAGTAAGGCATTAATATGTGTTTTATAAGTACTAATATACAGCCAATATGCGAGTAATATGCATGCTAAAAAGCAACTAGTTAATAGTCAATAGTGTTCCCTAATCTAAAGTGTTACCAAAAACATTTACCCATCAACCCATGCGTCATACTGTAGTCTGGAGAGATGCAAAACTCTGCATATTCATGTTGACTTTAAAATCTATTTAATGAAATTACTAAACCTCAGATTTAACTACAGTCACATGACATTATGCATGTCTGCATAGATCAAATATGCATTGTATGTTTGAGTCTTTTTATATCAAAGACAAACATTTTAACCCATGCTACTTTGTGCTATAACACTAGCAAGATATTAATGTTTTTTTTTCTTTGTAGCGGGAAGAAATACAACAAATGAGGAGTTGGAGAGCATGTTAGAAAGTAACAACCCCTCCATCTTCACTTCAGGGGTGAGTGGATGTATATAGCATCATATATTAGTACAGTAAAAATGTGCATTCTTTAAAGAAACAGACGGAGAAATGTGTAATAAAGTTATGCAGTTTCTCAGTGTATTGTACGTTTGGATTTTTTTTTTTTTTAATGTAAAAAAGTTAAGTTTTTGGCAAAGGTAAAAGCCCTTTTGAAATGTAAATTCATATCTGTACAGTAGAGGGCGCAGCTCAAACAAACCTTTCAGCTGTGCTACTATTCTGGATTGCGTGAAGAATAGGATACAGGAGACGAAAGTTCAACACTTTGTTCTCAATCACAATAAACAAACACAAAAAATATTAAATGTTCATCTAAAGTCATTTTTGCTAGTATATATGATGTATAAATCTCAATTTCAAAAAATGTACCCTTATGACTGGTTGTGTGGTCCAGGGTCACATTTGTGTTATTTAATTGTGTTATTTATTGAGTTTGCATTTCACTGTTTTTATTAATTTCTCAAAATACTGAATCTGTTTTTGTGTGAGTGAGATGAATAAATGCATGATGACATTTAGTCTAGATCGACAGTAACATCATGTTCACGCAGCGCACACAACGCCTCTGCACAAGAATATAACACAATTTACAAATACGCTTATAGCCTTCGTGAATTTTATCTGATGGCAATGAATCTCTCACTTCTTTTTATTCCTTGGGTCCTATAGAATCGATAAGATACAGTTTGCGACAGTCTGCCTTTTTTTTTCTGTTCCCTATTTTCAGTCCAAAACTTACTGTTTTAAACTCCTCGCAGACTGTTTGTCCGATTCTCACCAAATATCATAACCAGACCATTATTAAAGCACAAAGTGTTGTGTCTCAAAGGTATGGCACTTTTCCTCTTAGTTAATTGTGAGTGAGTAATGTTTGGGTTAATCAACCGAGTGTTCAGGATTACTGTCACAATAAAGGATAAACCTGCTTTCTAGAGCACCCCGCAGTTGAGTTTTACTGGAAAGCAGCTTTGAGAAATGATGACTATGGTGGGATGGGGCTCTAAGGAGGTCTAAAGAGTCGTATTTTGTAAGATAGGAATTTTCAGCCAATCCCCTTCTCAGAACATCCTGCATTTTTTTTTGTTGTTGTTGTTGTTTTTGCTCTCAGTAAAGCAGCCAGTGATTAAAGCAGAATTATGTTGTAAAACGTCCTCATTCTCACTTTTTAATTTTTGCTCCAGATCATCATGGACTGCAACATCAGTGAACAGGCCATGAATGAGATTGAGACGCAGCACAATGAAATCATCAAACTGGAGAACAGCATCCGTGAGCTGCATGATATGTTCATGGATATGGCCATGCTGGTGGAGAGCCAGGTGAGCTTCACTGACAGATGATTAAACAGCTCTGTGTCACTATCAATAACACAAAATCTGGAAACTGACCAGTGGATATCTATTTTTACAGGACATAATCAAACCCAGTTAAAATTGGGTTTAGTGTGACATGTAGAAGTGAGCCCTAGTCCTGCAGCATTTGAGACACTTGATCTGATGAATCACATTCACACTGTAAGGGACAGACAAGAACTAAAACAGCGGTAAAGCAGTTGCAGTGTTTAGTCAGACTGCTTTCATGGGTGCGCAGTGAACCAGTCAGTCGGCTGGCATCTCAACTCACCCACATTATGGTAACTTCAGAACTCAGAAATGAAACATAACGTGTGGCGGCATCTTCAGTCGTCAAACAAACACAAACACTGTCTTCCAGCAGCTTCTGCACTTTTGAGCTCTTTGCAACAGTGACTGTATGATGTTGAGATCCATCTTTTCACACTGAGGATAACAGAGAGACTCATACACAAGTATTGATGCTCAAGAAGGTAGCAATGCTTTAAGAGCCGAGGGGAATAAACTTGATGGTCAAGGTGAATTGTTCCTATGTTTTCTGGGAAACATGTAAATATCTTATGTAGCTTCGGAAGAGCGGAAGTACATAAAAAAATAAGATCTTTAAACAAAATAAAAACAGTTTATGGGCCTGTTTACACCTGGTCACTTCATATGTTTTTTCTGATCAAATAGCTATCCGATCGTGTAAAGACCAGGTGTAAATGCCCTCCGAAACGCATTCGAGACGGATATAAATCCGATCGCTCAAACCACTTCAGGAGGTGGTCTGGGCCGCATTCCAGACGAAACTGGACAAGTGTAAATGCATCTGGTGGTTGAAACCACATATGTAAATTTTACTCCTCCCAAAATGATAAAATAATAAACGTGTGAGAGCGTGTTATAGGCTATATGACAGCAACACGCATCACTGCGGACGAGTAGCTGAGTATCTCTTCAGCAAGCCGACGTGCAAACTGCCACGAATGAAGCTGAAAGACGCAGATGGTCAACACACAATCATCTTCATTAAAAGTAGTAAGACAAACTTATCTTTCCAGTGCTGATGCCGCGCGCTCTCCTATTGCGGTCTTTGATCTTGAAATGAGCTGATAATTAATAAAATGCAGCGCTTATCTTTTGATTTCGTTGACGTGAACTCAAATTTTAATATAGTGCGGGAATTGAAGATCGGATTTATATCCGTTTTGCAATGACACATTTATGTGGCCAAGTGTAAATGGAAACGTTTTAACAAATCAGATAGATATCCGATCAGTGAAAACGCATGAAATGACCAGGTGTAAACAGGCCCTATACCAGTCATCGAAGGGAAATTAACGAGACACAGGTGAACATGATGAGTAGCCAAGAAAACAAACCAGGGCATAAGAGCCAAGGAAACATGAACATGGGAACAGTGGAACAAAATAAACTTCAGAACAGCTATATTTTAGCAATATAAAACCCATGACCACTCCATTTGATAATTATTCTGTCCTGTCTTAAACAATCAGTGGCTCAAAAAAACAAAATCAAGTCCTGTCCTACATTTTTTTCTCATTCAAGAAGCAGTTTCACTCATCTATACGTACTACAAAAGAAAAGACGATTGCAATTTCCATTTCCAATTTTCTTCAATTTAAACATTCAAGCAAATTGAGCGCTCTTTTGTATCTTATCATGGTTGAACAGACAAATGCACACAAAATTACCATTCTGTCATGTCCTGAGCTGGCATCTATGCACTTCCTTTCACTGAGCCCTTTGAATTGTATACATGTTTTCGATTGGCCGTCATTGGAGATAGATGCCGTTTGCAGTCAGATGTAATTATAGCATCTACCAGCAGGGGCTAAAACTTTGACCCCCTGTACACCTTGAGCTCTATTTTGTTCAGTGCTAAATATATTTACTGCAGTGTGCCATTACCCAACATATTCTCCATGAAAACAAGAAATGGTCACGTTCATTCAGTAAATAGTGTTTGGTGAGCTGTACTTTCCTGTTTTCTTTCAGGGAGAGTTAATAAACAATATAGAGAAGAATGTCTGCAGTGCACAGGAATATGTGGAAAAGGCCAAAGAGGAAACCAAAGCAGCTGTCAAAGTCCAGAAGACTAGCAGGACGGTGAGATTGAATCCATTAAACTCCTCTGAAATCACCTTTCTCTTTTTCTTTCCTCTTTCTCTTGGGCCGTGTCTCCTGCTCTGGTCAGGGAGATATGATAGACCGTATAGAGTATAATGTGGATCATTCAGTGGATTACATTAAGGATGCATTGTTAAACACCAAGAAGGCTGTAAAGTACCAGAGTAAAGCGCAAAGGGTGAGTGGAAGATACGTCAGTGCCTGCTGTCTGTCCTGCATGAGCTCATTTCTCGCCTTTTCCTATTCCCACTCCTTATAGTGTTTAATGGGAAGCTTTGTCTGTGTGCTGTCAACTTTAATCTAATGCTCTCATTCTCAATCATTGAGGTGCTGAATTCATTTACACAGAAATTAGCCAATAATAGTTCACCCAAAAATGAAGATTTGCTGTAAATGTGCTCACTCTCAGTTCATCCGAGATCAGGATGAGTTTGTTTCTTCATCAGATTTGTAGAAATGTAGCATTGCATCAGTGTCTCAGCAATGGATGCTCTGCAGTGAATGGGTGCCGTCAGAATGAGAGTCCAAACAGCTGATAAAAACATCACAATAATCCACAAGTAATCCACAGCACTCCAGTCCATCAGGTAACATCTGGAGAAGACAAAAGCTGAAACAAATCCAGCATTAAGACGCCTGCAACTTCAGACTGTTGCTTCCTTTATTCATAATATTGCCTTCTCCATGGAAAAAAGCATGCAGTGCAGCTGAGCTCCAGTCTCATTTTGTTCCACTGTAGAAGGAAAGGGTTTGGTACAGGAGAAACGGATGGCTAGATTTTCATTTCTGGGTGAGCTAGCTAAACCTAGTTGTTAAGGTTTGTAATACGTTTAGTGCTGAGATATCATGAACTGAAGATCCCTGCAGCCCTCTCACGTTCTGTCCATATCGCCCACAGAAGCTGATCCTGATCGGCGGTTGTGTGTCCGTCTGTCTTCTCATCCTCATCATCTCTCTAGCCATTGGATTGAGCTAACCCAATCACTCCGCTGTCTGCTCGTGACAGACAGGAGCTCAGGACCATCTGTTTGCATACTGTATTATTTGTGATATAGCCGATAGATTCAGTAGATTTTGTTTTTTTTTAAATCAGACATGCTGGGAAATTACATACAGACTGAGTGTGTTAAAGGGGTCCTATTATGCTCTTTTACAAAGTCTTGTCAATTTGAGCGTGATTTAAACCCGGATGATTGTAAACACTCTAAGTTCATCTGCCTTGGGAAAGCTAGCGTGTCTCAGACATAGTGATAACACTTGTTGCCTTCTCTAGTGCAGCTCAACCAGGTCTCGTCCCATTCGTCGATATTTGTGATATCACAAATCCCAGAAAATATGCGTTGTAGTCCAAACGAGTCGTTCGTTGTAGTTTTTGAAAAGTGATTTCTGTTAAATATCTCCTTTTGAAGTGGACTTTGAGCTTTGTAACTTCGCAGATCTTTTTTATGCTCAAACAGCAACATTACAGAATAACTAAAGTTGAAAAAGTGAAAAAGCATAATAGGACCCCTTTAAATGTACTGAAATACAAAATGAGATGAAATGGGCTACGATGTGCAGTGTCTAAAAAGTATTCACTTTCTGTAAAGTTATTGTTTTACGTGTCAGTTGACTTTTTCTGATCAACAAAATATTCAAAGAAGGCAGACAATACTATTACCGTGTGAATTTCAGCACAACACTTCCTTTTCAATGGTCAAAAAATGAGATGTAAGATTTAAGTAGCTAAACATTCCATATTTGACAACCCTGAGTTACGAAATATTTAATGACCGACAGTAAATCCAGGAATGCAAGCAATTCAAAAGGAGCCGTTTTCAGCATATTAGACATATTACTATACAATAAATCTAGTTCTAAATTTCTACTGTTTTATATCCTACTCAAATATTGTCATTCCAGACCCAAATGCTTTTGTCATGGAATTCTGTTTTTACTTGTTTACTTTTTTCACTGACAGATGAAAATTAAAAAAGACTGACATGGTTTTAAAGCCTTCCCATTTGTGCCTTCTAGGCATCTTAAAATGCACATATGTAGATCAGGGGAATCTAACATTTTCCCAGCGCATATGCCTGCCAAACCCCTTAAGAAAGCTCAGCTTTTCTAAACCTAATCTAAAACCCTGTGTACGGCCATGAACCCCATCTGGGTTTTTTTTTTTTTTGCAGTGTTAATTTTCCTCATGGTCTTAAGTTCTGCCTCAATGCTGAATCTTCCAGATAGAGGAGAATCTACACTGCAATCAGTGGCTAGACTTTGATTACACACATATGTGACCCTGAAGCACAAAAGCAGTGTTAAGTCTCTGGGGTATATTTGTAGCAACAGCCAACAATACATTGTATGGGTCAAAATTATACATTTTTCTTTTATGCCAAAAATCATTAGGATATTAAGTTAAGATCATGTTCCATGAAGATATTTTGTAAATTTCCTACCGTAAATATATCAAAACTTAATTTTTGATTAGTAATATGCATTGCTAAGAACTTCATTTGAACAACTTTAAAGATGATTTTCTCAATATTTAGATTTTTTTGCACCCTCAGATTCCAGATTTTCAAATAGTTGTATCTCGGCCAAATATTGTCCGATCCTAACAAACCATACATCAATGGAAAGATTATTTATTCAGCTTACTTATTTATTCAATGTCGAAAAATTGACACTTAAGACTGGTTTTGTGGTCCAGGGTCACTTATGATTGTCATTTAGCTATTTATGTCACTGATATGAAATCCATTTCTTGCACCAGTGATATTTTAGGCGCTCCATTCTACTGAGGGTGAATACTTTTTATGGGCACTTTTTATGTCTTTGCCTCTGTTTGTGTTATGTACCGCTGTGTGTCACATGCCTGCTCAGCATTGTGGCATGACTGTAAATGGTAAACAGTGTTATGCATTTGCTACACTCCTTATGTTCAAAATGATGCCATCTTGGAAAGCAGTGTTGAGCTAACTGTTGTTTACTCTTAGAACTTAACATTTAACATTAGACTACACATGCATTAACCAAACCGAACAGATTGCAACAGTATATACGTTTTGTAAATTAATCTGTAACATGTTATGTCATAATGAATGAAACCCTCAGCATCCTCAAACTGCTCTCCATGAATCTTTAAACATGCAATGACATTTCTGCCTGGGTCCTCTACTTTTCATGCTGCCTGGAATGTTTTATCTTAAATTTAATTTGATTTTTTTTTTCTTGAACTCTTCCAAATGCAGAAGAAAATCATGATTATTATCTGTTGTGTGCTGCTTGGAATTGTTGTTGCCTCTATCATTGGTGGTGTGTTGTCCTGAATGACACACATACAGCGTGATGTGTTTAGAGCGGATAATAAAGAGAATGAATGTTTGTTTCTATGTGAGGCTGGACTGAACTACATGGCTTGCACTAGATGTCAACTAATGTCGACTCATCAAACCTGAGCAAAAGTCATGTAGTGTATTCTAGCCTTTATTCTGGCTATCGTAGGTCATTGTATTTTTTCAAGAATTAAAACACAGGTCGCCTCTGAACAAAACAAAATGTATCATCTGTCAGTGTGATACTTTGAGGCTCTTTGAAGCAAACAAATTCTCTCAATCTATAGTGATAAACAGAAAGCAGTGTGTGCCGTTATCATTAATGAGCCACTAGTCTTCTTTAAATTGCAAATAAAGATCTGTGTATATTTTATTCTGTTGTTGCAAGTAAAGTTCCAGTTTATTCACACCTCAGATTGTTTCCAGATGTTTGTGTGCTTCATATACACGTGAATGTCTAAAGAAAACATGCATTACTCGATTTTAAAGTCCTCTAATTCATTATAAGTAAAGTGCTGTATAGACATGGTTTCAGAGGACGTCCTCTCCATCTGCCCTGCGAGTCACATTTTGAGTTTGTACATAAACGTGCAGAATCGTAACTGCATCTTAAATGGCTTGACAAAAACATGAAATGACAAAGAAATGTGGCACTAAAGATAACAGTCAAAACAAGAGTACATATTGACTGCCTCCATGCAATAAATGAACTTATTAAAATGATTAAGAATGTCCAGCTATGTTATGTTAAAGGTGACATATCATGAAAATCTGACTTTTCCAGGTGTTAAGTGCTATAATCAGGTCCCCGGTACATCTACCAACCAAGGAAACGTGAAAAAGATTAACCCAGTAACTTAGTTTTGGGAAGCCTTTTTCTGCAAGCGTCTGAGAAAACGAGCGCGTCTGATTTCGCTCCCTTGGTGACGTGGCAAAGATCTCATTATAATATTACCGCCCCTTAATCTGTAAGTTTACACCCACGGCGCCGTCATTGTGATTTCACAAGCTACAACGGTGTACTAGTTCTAATGCCGTGGTGAAAGTTTGAGCAAAACATGCTAACTGTTCTGTGTTTGGCTGCACAGACGAGCACAGAACACCGTTTAGAGTCCCAGCCTCAGAGGAGCCAACAGAGCAGTGCAT